GTGTTCCAAGCCACCACACCTTAGACAGCCTTGGTATGTTGAATATATTAAGGTTGTTTCCCCTTCCTCCCTCACACCCCCAGCATATGCTTACTTAGAATGATTCCAATTATAAACTGATATATTTTTGTTATGAAGGGAAATCATTGGAGCAACCATTCTGGAAATCTGCTTTGTATTTAAGACTCCTCAAGGCTCCAACAGGAAAATAATAAACTGACATCCTGAGAAGCTGAGTACTGCCCCTTCCTGTCTGCCTCACACTGCAGGCAGGTGTCTGGGTGGGAAATTGGACACCCCTGTCAGACAGAGTTTCCTGCACTGTCTTGCTCTTGTCTGCCAGCCGGGCCCAGGTCACCCCATAAGGCGGATGTGGGGAACAGCTGGTGTCTGTACAGACAAACAAGGGGAGGAAGGTTGAAGGGAGTAGACAGGCATTGTGCTGGGCCAAGTGACTGGGAGGCCCCAGCCCTGGGGACCAGGAAGAGGTTTAGGTGGAGTACTGGAAAGAAAGAAGTCTGGGAGAAGGTGCTGAGAGCTTAACCTTGGGCCTGGAGTGTATACCCAGAACTCCATTCCATGAGTTCTCTGAAGCAAGAAGCTCACCCATAAGTGGCAGGGGAAGATGCTTGGGCAACATGCAAGCCCACTGCAACAAACCGTTCAGAGGGATTCGAGGTAGGGGCTGTGCGGTCTACTCTCCCTAGATCTGCATTTCAGCTCTACCTACCACTTATTGGCTGTGTGGCCTTAACCCTCCTAAGCCCCAGTTTCATCATCTGTAAACTGAGGATAAAAAGACAACACCTTTCACAAGGCTATGCTGATAATATGAAATGACATGTAAAAGTAGTTAGCACTATCCTTGGCAAAAGTTACGTTCTCAATAACTCTTAGCTATTATGATTTGTTTGGAATTAGAAAATCCTAAATCCCACACACAGCTCTGTCATTTTCTACAAATGATTCCACCTCTCTAAGCCTCAGTGTTCTACCTTGATGAACTGTTCTGGAGTCTAAGTGAGATAATATGCAGAGATTCCAGCCATAGCCCAGCACATAGTGAGTGCTCAATTAATAAAATTCCTGTGATTTAGGAGGGTGTTTGAACCATACTGCCCTATGGATGAGTTTCTGAGTGCCAGCCTGGGTGCCTAGGGGAAGGGAATTTCTCATTAATTGGGACTGTGGCTAAGGGGAGAGGTGAGAACTAAACAGCTCTCAAAGGTAAGGGCAGAGGGATGAGAAGAAGGAAGCCCTGTTTCTGCCCTCAGAGACTTTCTACTGTGGAAGCTAGAAACAGTAGCCAGAACTTTCTTCTGCCCTGTGGGCACCCACGGGAAACTCCTGTCTAGGCTGCCGGGGATGCCAGGCATGATGGACAAGGCTGGGTGCCTCAGTTACTCCCCACCTGTCTCTGCAGCTGGTAATAGCTGTTTTCCTCTTTGCCAAGGGAGGGGTCCAAGAGCCAAGGCTCCCTGGCTGTCTAGACCCACAGAATATCTCCAACAGGACTAGGAAGGTCAGGCCCAGATGCACTGAAGACACAGGCTATCCCCACATGCTTTCTTCTTCTGAGACTCAGCACCACGCAGGAGAAAGAACAGGACTTGTGAGTCAGACAGAACCAGGTTCAAATGTGGGCTTCCCTACTCACTAGCCAAGTGAAGTCAGGCAAGTCCTGTAAGTACTCTGAGCCCAAACTGGTTCAACCCTGCAGTGGGGATAATAGTAGTGATCTGTCGAGGCTGACTTAAGGATAACGGGTGCCCAGTGTCTAGCAGAGTATCCGAAATATGCAGTAGTTCAGTAGGGTTGTCTTGTGTTATCATTTATATTTTTCATCTGTCACTACCTGCAAACCATTCTTCTTCAGGGAGTAGTTGGGGATGTCCAAGAAAGAGGAGAAAAATTTCAAGAATTTGGAGTTTATTTAAAAGTTAAACTGGGAAATTTAATTTGTAGGAAGAGTGACTATAATTTGAGACACCTTTCTTCTCCATAAGTCAGAGTTCCAGGAATCTTGCATCTGAAAATCTCCAAATACCTGGGAACAACTGAAATAACCATGGCAAAGTCACACCTGCCATAAGGGAGGCCTTTTGTCTCTGTAATTTGAATTTTACATATGTTTTGAGAGCCCCCCCCCCCACCGCCCCCAACCACCATTCCTTTTCAGCAGAAAAATGCCTACTTCTTCTTCAGATCTCCATGTAAATGTCACTTCCTCAGGGAAGCTTTCTTTGACCTTCAAACTGTTCTTCATAAGATCCCACACCTTTCCCTCATTGCCTTTCCACAAAGGCAATTAAATGCATCATTGTATAGCTCCCTGCTTAACAGCAGGCTCCCCAAATAGACAAGTTTCACAAGGACAGGAAATGTGTACATCCAGATTCTGCCATGTGTACCCAACCAGGTCTAGTGCTAAGCACATAGAAATGCTCAATGGACGTTCATCTCATTGGATGAAAGAAGCTTGGCTATCTGTATTTTGCTGCTTCAGCCAACATGAAGGAATAACACGTTTAAATTGAAAGAAGATCTCTTAACACAAAAAGTTTAAATTACATTTAAGAGTGTATAAGGGGGAAAAAAAGACTAGAAAACACATTCATAACTAGGAAAGAACTGATTCTGGAGTCCCTAGTGAAGAGTCAGCACCTATTTCAGGGCCCAGGAGTTTGTCATTGCTTAAACAGAACCTAGTAGAGGAACAGAGAGTCAAGATGTTGACTTGGTGTCCATACATATGTCTATACTAAAGTTGCTGTAGTAATTTGGAATCCACACCTGAACCTCAATCTCCTGACTTTATATTCCTACCATGCACTCTGTAAAAAGAGTAATCCATTTAAGGAAGTTTCCTCTCACCCAAAATAGTTTTTTTTAAGGTTTTTTTTTTTTTTTTTAGGTTTTAGACACAGCAGGCTTGGTAATTATTTTAATCAGAACTGCTCTTTCTCCAACTGATAGTGTCAGATGGTGTCACAATTCTACATAAACTTCTATTTAAAATACAAACTTCATTGTCATTCATTTTCATAAGTGGCCTACTTCAGTAGTGTAAAATAGATGCTGTCATACACTGTATTCACTTGGGATCAGGCCCAGTCTTTAAGTATGCTCATATCATTTTTCCCAGTCATTTCAGTTCTAAGAATCAACTACAAAGGAGTAATTCAAGCTATAAAAGTATGTGTAAATATGTTTATATGCATTGTTATTTATAATTGTAAAAAACAGAAATACCCAAAAGTTAAAAAGAAAATTGGGGTAAATGGTTATATAAACTATTGTATATCACAACCATATAATAAACAATACAGCAAAAAATACAGCTGAAAAGTTTGGATAATATCAGATAATTCTTATGTGTAAGGTTTCCTGTGCTAAGTAAACAAAACCAAGTAAAATAAGACCCCAAACTTGAAATTCAGTGATTCATACATAGACAAATAGGCTCTCACACTTAACAGAATAAAATATGCCAGAAAGAAAGCAGTGGTTATCTTTGGGTTGTAAGACAATAAGTGAATTCTTATGTTCTCTTCTTTCTAAATTTTCAAAAAAATAGAGTCTGTATTATTTCACAGTTTGAAAACAGCGAAATTCATTAACCTAAAACTTCATTTTCTCATACTTAAACATAAAATGAATGCCTTCCATGATCTAACAAATTCAAAACAAAACTAAAGCCAAAAAAAAGTGGAAATGATGAAAAGTGCTGCCCACACAAGACTGATTGATCCCACACAACCCCAGAATCTTTATCTGTCAACTAAAAGATTCAGTAATAGTTCTCTGATTTGGTTGTGTTCCTTGGGTCTCGCCCCCTGTATCCCTAAATTTTTGAATCAGAGCATCATTCTGGAAGGAACCAACTCTCTTAAGGATATTGCAATATAAAAGGACTTGGATTGGAACCCAGGAACCTCACACCGTTTCTATCATTCTTTCTGCCACCTGGGCAAATCATTCCTCTTTTATGGGCTCAGTAACTCCATTAATGAAAATAGGAAACTTTGGGCCAGGTAATCACAGAGGGTTTCTTCAGCCATGACTGACTAAGATTCTTTGCTTTTTCTGTCTCAGAAACTCGGTTCCCTCTTCTTTAAAATGAGAGATTGGAGCAAAGGATCTCTGAGATCAAATGATTTTTCGGCTTAGACTGCAGATGAGTATAAAAACAGAAAATAGTTTCCCATGAACTCATTCACCACAAGAACACTTCTCATCCCAGGTTGGCCAGGTCCACCATCTCTCTCTCAACTCTTGTCTGGAGTCCCAAACTCTGCTCTCAGCTCTTGTCAGGAGAGAAATGGAGGTATCTATTTTTCTGTGAGTGGTTAATGTGCATCTAATTTGAATGTTCCAGTTTTACTATAAACCCTTGGATCACTCCCATGTGCATCCTAACACAAAAAGAAAGAGAATCATGATGATGACCATCCTCTCCTAATTCTACGGGTATGAAAACCAAAATAGATTATAAATGCTCAAAGGCCATAAGTGACCTTGTTAAGAATGTCCCATTTTCTCTTTTTACCTAGACATCAGCCATAATCTAAAAATGTGTGTTCTCTTTAGGACTGTGCGTGCCAGTCTCCTGCCCCTTTTCATGACCACCTCCTTCTTCCTCCCCTTCTCCTTCAAGTTTCAGTGTAGATGCTGCATCCTCTGCAAAGCCTTCTCTGACCCCTCACCTGGGCCCTCACAGCACTTTGTCCTTCTCTTCTAAAGGTACTTACTGCACTTTTATTATCTGCTTCCCTACCCGATTTTACGCTTTGAGGACCATATCTGCAAAAATCATCCAAGGCTGAGGACACAATATTAACTCAACCACTGACTAAAATAATACAAAATAAAAGAAAGCTTGAAGACAGAGTACTGGCACAGTCAGGACAATGGGTCAGCCAGCACACAGAAGTGAACCTGGCCCAGCAAGCTGGAGAGGTGGGCAGCAGGTGGCTGCCAAGAGGCGCACACCAGCCTACCTTTTTGGTCTTCACTGTGGAGGTGCAGCAATCCCCACCATCGTAGTTGCAGAATGCTCGGTTGTTGATGGCATCACAGTAATTGTCTCCCATGAAGGGCTATAAAGGGGAAGAGAAGCAGGAAAGGTGGCCTCGTTAGCATCCCGGAGTGAGTGGGAGCTGGCCCTCAGGCTTCATCGGGGATTCGGTAGTCCTTCAGGTGTCTGTTCTCTTCCCACAAACCTCTAAGGTTAGCCTGCTTGGCTTCAAATCCCAACACCCCCTTGGATAAGTTATTACTTGTACCATTTATAAAGACTCTTACCTAGTCAAGTTTTTCTCAATGAGATTATGGTTATGCATGCAAAGCCACAGGATAGATCTCATATATCTTCCTGAATAGAGGGCTTGTTTTACTTAAAGAAATGATAAGAAAGGGAGCCTCTTTCCTGCACTTTTAACAACAGTAGGTAATTAAAAACTATTTAATTAAAAATGAAATTTATACTAAAACATATGCGAATATATCAGGAAGCTACATGTAAACTGCCCAATAATTATAAAGATAAAATGTAAGACTTCATAGGAATTTGGCATTATGCATGTTTAATGGTGGGCTCCCTCTAACTGAGGAATACAGATGTACTTGATATCACATGCTTTACATGTTTGTCATCTTCTTTTGTTCTTCAAACAAGTGAGGTAGCCATGAAGACCCTGGGGCTCAAAGGCAAGTACTTGGCCAAAATCACACGGGCGGAGGCTGAGTAGTGATTTAAATCTAAGTTGGCTCTGTTTTTATTTTCCTTCTGACTGTGCCACCAATCTAGGTTGTTGTAGCACACACTGATTTGTTTATTTTCTTCTCTGTGTTCCTCCACCCCTGTGATGCTTCAAAGATGAGGAAGAGATGATGGGGTCAAGTCATTACTGAACAGATCCCAGAGCCATGTTAGGAGAAAGTCCAGAAGTCTCTAGGATTCCTCTACCACTCATGTTCCCCCCTTCCAGAAATGAGCACACTGTATTCTGTTGTCTGTTTATGCTTCTGCAGTTGGCACAAGACTGTAAGCTCCTCAAGGTCATAGGCAATGTCTTGTCTATCTTTGACTCCCAAACACCTAGTTTAATGCTATGCACAACTTTACTCCTTAGTTATGTTTTTTAAAATGGGATAAAATTGTACTGGCATAGTGAAAAAGGCAGTGGCAGGGATTTAGAAAGCCTGAATTCTAGTCCTCCTAACCTCAGCCAACTTGGTGGTTACTTGGTAATTTTCGTTAAATGGCTTATTTTCTCAGAGCCTCAGGACTCCCACCAATAAAATAAAGAGGCTGGATTAGTCCATTGATTCCTCAAATAAATGAACTGCCCTCCCCACTATCAAATGCAATATTGTGTGACATTTTAATATAGAAAGTAGATGTAAATGAAATCACTCTGATTAGAGTGTTGGTTGGGCTTTCTAATACTCAGTGACTCATTGACAGAAAAGAAAATGTCATTTGTTTAATATTGCATCCCAGCACACCACTTGTGATCCAGTGGTCTCTCCTTCCCATCCTGACTGTTTTTGAGAAAACCAAGCTCACAGAATCCATCCTGTGTGGCATCCCTGGCTTTTGCATTTCTTTTCCAAATTCTCATTCACGGAGCCTTTTCCCCCCAAACTCATGATGTCAGATTTCATTTCATCCCAGTCCTGTTAGAGCCTAAAAAACATCATAGCACTACGTATGGATCAAAGAACAGGAAAGACCAGAGCTCAGGTGTGTGAATGTGCATGCACATGGCTGTGAGTGCAGGTGTGACTCTTATGTGTGACCACCATAATGAACACATTATATTCGTGTTAAAGTAGAGTGGAACAATCACCAAACAAGAAGATAAGCCCCCTTTTTTTCTCTATGCCTCAAGAGTCTGCCTGTGGGCTATGTTTTCTTACATATGACACATGAACAGACCAATGAAGAAGACCAATTGCCCCTCCTTAGAATGAAATAAACTGACGTGGTAAAAAAGTAGTTGGGGAAAAGAGAAAAATTAAATGAAGGTGGTTCTTATTATTTGGATCCTGAAAAATATCTCCAGTGTCATCACAAGGTATTCGCCCTATATGCCTCTTCTTATGACCGTATCCATCCATCCATCCATCCATCCTTCCATCCATCATCCATCCATCTTCTATACAAGCCTATTTATTGAATGCCTATTTGTATGTTGCACATTGTGCTAAGGAAAGGGATGCTATAGTATGTCAATACAGATATGGCCCCTATTTCTTTAGACGTCATATGCTAGTGAAGAGATAGACTTTCATCATGTAATCACATATCTAATTAACCAATTTCAACTCTGATAAGAACTATGGAGGAGAGGTACACGATGCTATTAAAGAGCAGAAAAAGAAGATCTAGTTAGAGAGCTCAGTGAAGGTGTTCTTAAGGAAACGACGCTTCAGCTGAGATCATAGAGATGAGTAGGAGTTAATTAGATGTGTGTAGAGGAAAGACAATTTCTAGAGAGAGGGAACAGTGTGAAAAAAACCTGCTACATCCTGTCTCTGATGTTTTTCATATTGCTACTTCTTCTAGTAACGCATTTAGGCAAACAACCCATTCTTTAATATCTAGCTCAAAATGTCTTTCCGATGTTCCCAGGATGCTCTATTCTACAGCTTCTTGTACTTGATTTAATGAAAGCTCTTGGTACATAATTTTATAATTATTATTTAGAATTCTCTCTTTGTCTATCTCCTTTACTACAGTGTGAGTGTCATCCACTTTTGTAACCTAGATTCCTAGCAAAATGTCTGGCAATTTGAATAAAACTTCATCAAATATATGTTCAGTTAACATGTTTAGTAAAAAAATGGATGGATGGATGAATGATGAGCAAGAAAATATCACAGATGACTCACTCAAGGAGAACATAGTTACTCTTTTCACTTGAATAAAATCATTGTATTCTCAGAACCTAGAATAGAGGCTGCATATAAGAGGTTCCCAGTGAAGCTTCAATGAACAAGTGAGTGAATGATCATTTTGGACCCTTCTTGGTGCAGAGTACAGGAGACTCAGAGGTTCCCAAACTCTTTCTTTTTCTTGGTTATCTCTAGATGTTTGAGGCTGATGGCTCCTCCCTCGTCCCAGCATCTGTGTCTCTTCTAAGCATACTTTCCAGTTTCAGACAAGACACATACTATTGACTCTAAGCTGAGGAGAAAAGGAGATGAGGGACACCTGCAAGGGCAAAGGTGATAAGCATCATTGGCAGGGCTCAGAGCCTGACAGGTAAGGGTCTCCTGGGCCTCACTGCTGAGTCAAAGGAGGGATCAAATTCTGCTGTCACACTGGTTGCCCAGACTGCCAACTCAGCAAAATGAGTGCCCAGGTAACCCAAGCCTCCTTTTCTCCAAATGCTAGACTGATCCAGTGATGGAAGGAAGCAACAGTCCTAGGGCCTAACTGAAGCTTGGGAGAATGGGGTTCTTAAAGACTACAATGCCACGTGCCCTGAGAAGATACCACAGAGGTTCCCTAACTAGTGCCCAGAAAGAAATATATGACCCAGGGTCTGTTTTGTGACACTTATAGGCCAGGGAATGACTCATAGGCAGGCAGTAAGAGAAAAAGTGCCAGCCTGAGTGTCAGCAGATCTGGGATCATGCTTTGGCTCTGTGGTTATCATGCTGTGCAAACTTGGAAAAGTCCATTCCCTCTCTGGTCCTCATTTTCCACTCTATACAACATTTTACTGAAGCAGGTAGGGTTACATCACATGAAGGGCCTTCTCAACTTTGGTATTCTGTCAAATTTTAGACCTGGTTACTGTCTGGGTCTCTGTCTTCCCGTCTTTAAAATAAAAGGTAAGGTTTAGATAATCTTAAAAAAGCCTTTCTGGTTCTGACATTCTAAGAACTTCCTCAAATACAAATTTTCTAGGGCATAACCTGGTCTTTTTTTACCTACGTTTTCCCTGGTGAGCTCTGGGGGGACCACAGAGATTCAGACATCCACCTGGAAGGGATTTGGGTCTCTTTTACTGCCAGCTGAGAACTACAAGGACCATGGTGATGCACAGAAATGCATTTGAGTTCCATGGGCAGCCCTCCCCTGAGAACATAGTTGATGTGTCAAGAACCCTGCCTCCTGTAACCCGCTTCAAGTTTGTCACCGATACACAGCACCAGACCTCCGTAATTCCAGGCTCCAGGGAATGGCAACACTGAGAAGACAGAGCATTTAAGATTTAGAAAGGATCTTCCACTTCAGTCAGTGGTTGGGTTTAAAGCATCCATATTACTTCTGGGGTTGAAGCATGAGTGAATGACTAAGATGTGGGACAGAGGGAATTGATTTGCCAGTAAATGTCATCAGTAAAATGGAAATAAAAAAAAAAACACCTCATGTGACTCTGTAAAGGTTAAATGTGATGATGTTGGTAAAATTCCAATATTAGCATATTATGGATGCTAAATCAATATGGTCTCCTGCTCTTCCTTCTCTTTTACAGATCCAGTATTAAGTAGATCGTAGGCTCTGGAGATTCTGAACCCTGTCTTGGGATCCTAACTTTGTTACCCATAACCTATGTATTTTAATATGTTTTTTCATATGTGTATGTCTCACCTCCATCATCTATAAAATGCAGTTGCTGATTCCTGTCCAAGAAGAAATGCTAAATGGATATTTTCAACACTTAGTAGGTACAATAAAGTATAGCTATCATTAGTACAACAATAACAATAATAACGGTAGCATTATTTCTAGGGAGCTGAGAAGTATCTTTCCCTGTGACTCACCTCACAGCCTTTGACACAGTGAATCAGAGCCGGGTGAGGATACCACTTGAGACCAGCAGTGCAGACAACTCTCTGCAGAGAGAGGAGAAAGAGAGGTCAGATGGGCTTGGTATTGGGAGGGACCCACCTCTGTGTTGGCATGACACTCAACCACCCCACCTCTGCTTTGGATCTTCCAAGTCCTGACCTCACCCTGGCATTTACAAGGAGAACTTGCCTGTGTTCTTGCAATAACAGGAGCCATAAGATTAAAATAATATTTGTGTTCACTGTATGTGTCATGATTTTGTATTTCCCTGGCAGGAACAAGGGCTGAGGAGAAGTAAAACTGGGGGATGAAAACATGATCAGAAAAATCCTTCAGAAAATTCATGGCTGGTGTTTGACCCATTGATGGAATTGGGACAAGGTGGGTGGAGGAAGGGCAGAAGGAGGGGGTGTGTGCACATACATGTGTATGCGCTGTATGCATGCTTATGTGAGGCTGGAGCAGAAAGATGGGACAGAAGTATGATGCAGTGTTTCTCAAAGTATGAGCTGAGGACCACTTTCAGCAGAATCACGATGGGAGAACATTAAAAAGGCAGATTTCTCAGACCTGACTTGGATGTAATGAATTGGCTCTCTGCGGCCAGGTTATCGGACTCTGGATTTTTAAAAACAAGCCTTTTTAATGCACACTACAATTTGAGAGCAAGTGGGCTGTTGGCAGAATGAAGTAACCTCTTGTTGGGAACTCTGGAGAGACAGGGAACCCTTCCTGCTATTACCTGTCAACGTGCCATACAGATCTGCTCACAATTCCCTGAGGCTGCCCACAGTGGATGTGTTCTTGATGTTCTCTTTCACTGAAATGCCCTTCCCTATCTTGTCACTTATAGAATCCTTAGTTACCTTTTAGATATCTGTTCAAAACTTACTTCCTCTGTGAGGCTTTTCCCAACCCCTCCCTCAGCAGAGCATATAGGCATGCACATACATATTTATTTATAGCCTCTTTTAATATTAATTATGATGATGATGAGAATGGCAACTAAATATATTGAGTGCACTCATGGTGCTAATTTCTTAATGAATTATCTTACTTATTTCTTGCCACCATGCTGTGAGGTGGACATTAATCTCGCGTCGTAAGAGAATACATTTTCCAAGTTCCATAGTTGTTAGGTGGAGAAACCAGGATTTAAAAACAAGCAGTTTTCTAGAAATGATTTAAGGAAGCTCATAACATAAAATCCAACATGACGATATCTTTCAAAGTAGGTGAAAGAAGAGAGGTAAAGCTAGATAGATAAGACAGTATCAGGAATGGCACTACCATAAAAATTCTAGAACCTTTTCTATTCTCCACAAATACCTCAGGTTTCAGATTACAATTATTTATTTAAAGAATAACGTAAAATAAAATAGCTCATGCTTAGATTTGCAGTGAGAGGTGACTATGTCAGCAACCAGCCAAAGAAGTCTCTATAATCAGGGCTTGTTCTCTTGGCTGAGAACCAATTGATTAATTTTAATTAAAAAATGAATAGTCACATGGGCCTGAATGTGGGAAATCCATGTGACCAACCCATTTTCTCCCTAAGGGCAGACTTATATGGACACCAAGTTGTAATTAGATTTCTTTACATGCTGTGACAAAGGAAATCACGTGACTCCAGATTAAGACTGGATTGGTTGTCTTCCTTCTCTGCTTCACTGCATCTCTAGTTCATGATGAATCTCCCATGCCTAAAATGGTGTCTGGAACACAAAGGATGTGCAATAAATATTTATTTTATAAAAGAACCGACTCATCTCAAAATAGAGATGATTTTGCCAATGGAAAATAATTTCTTTGCTTGTCTCCCTCTCTTCCAGAGTTTCAGAAAAGCATCTGCAATGTTACATGCAGTGTCTACTTTAGAGAACAGGCTTACCCTGAATTAAATTTAGAATCCTGGACAAACAGCTTAACTTGACAATCTGCCAATCAGTCTCACAATGTGAAATCTATTATCTAGCCCCTTCGAGCTTCTATTGACACTGTGTACACTCTTCCAAATACACAAAAGGTGGTATATGGGAAAGGCCATGAGGGAGGACAGGTGTGGTTGTGATTCTTACTTGGAATCACTTTGTAAATTTCCACAGTGAGGATCGTTTCTCCCATCTGTTAAATGGGTACTGAAAATGTCATAGCCTTGTTGGGATGATGCATTGAGATAAATGAGGTGGAAATGATTAACCTAGGACCCATTTCTTAAGTTTCTTAAAAGCAGGTCCTGAGTTTTAGACACCTTTGTATTGTTCCAGGATGAAGCAGGGAGCACAGTGAACAAATACAAATGAAGGGTCGTGTGTAACTCCAGTATTTTCTTCCTTCCAGTTAAGCTACTACGTTCCCCTCTGCTTTTCAGCCATGGGACCAGAGTGGAGAGGATCACCTGCTTTCATTCTCTTAACGGAATTTCATCTCTGAGTGCGAGAGTCTGTTCCCGGTCAAAATCCAGGGGTGTTGGAGGGCATTTGGTAAAGGTTCAAGAAGTAGAAAACAGCAGGGTTAGAATCTACCAGGGATTTGGATGCCCATCCCTCTCCCTGTTTATTTGAGAGCTAATTTAATCTGTCCGTAGGAGTGTCTTGGTGTGGTTGTACAAGTTTCTGTCACTTGAGGTTTACCTGACGTGAGTTCGGAAAAAGGACTTTTATACTATCTGCATGAGCCTATTTATCTTTCCAAGGCTTTTGGATTTTCCACTATTACTCAGGGCTGCATGCCCCACCTGTTTCACTACAGGGCCCCTCTGTGTGTGCTAGGAGAACTAGGAAAGGGACAGGCAGGGGGAGCTGAAGGAAAGGCTAGGCTGTTTACAGCACAAGTTGGGAGATCCCAGATGGGGCACCTCAAATGTCAGCCTTGTTCCTCTTGATGTCAATGAGACATCTAGCACAACCAGAGTTCATTCAGTACGGGTTTTATGAGAGGGTTTTTATTTCCTGCCTCAGTGGGTAAGAAGAATAGACAGTCTTCTTTCTGGCTGCAATTACCATCATCATCAATACCATTAGCACCACCATCAGCACCACCACCACCATCACCATCATCAATATCACCACTGGTACTACCGCCAGCACCTCCACCACCACCACCGTCATCCTCTTCCTTGACTTTATCTTTATCATCATAGCACCACCACCACTGCCATCATCATCATCATCATCATCAAAACATCAACACTACCACCATCAACTCCATCAAGGCCAACACCATTATCCTCATACTCATGTGCACAAAATCCTCTATTAAATGGGTGGTATGTGCTATGTTCTGGGCTCAGAGCCATTATCTCATCTAATTCTTACCATAACTATAAGATAGATACTATTTTTGACTCTGGTTTACACAAGAGAAAACTGGGGCACAGAGAAGTTAAATGACCTGCCCCAAATTGTACATACAGGTAGTGACAGTCAGCAATTAAATCCACATTTGTCTGATTTCAAGGTCTGTGCTTTGAACACTACACTTTCCTTCAAAGTATACTATCCCCTGAAGCTGTAAGTATAAAATAGCTTACTCTTTTGACCGATGGGAAGACCAGGGTTCAGGAAGGTGGAGAGGTTCTTTGAGACAATTGTTTGAGAGGGCAGAATGTTTAAAAGATGAAGGCCAGAGAAGATGGGCCCCATGCAGAGCCAAAGACATCTAAAAGAGACCCCTCTTCCTGAGGCCTAGATCTGACACCCCTCTTGCATGTCTTCTAACATGAGCCCCTTTTTTCCCTTGAAATTTTCCACTGCTTTATAGGATTTGCTATGAATTAGTCATCACTTATTATTATTACTATTAACACTTTTTTATCAGTCTCTGAGCTTCTAGTTTCTTTCTGGGTAAGCATTTTTAAAAGCTTAGGCATTTCCTACTCTGCATCCCTAGTGTTTGAAGACTACATGTCATTTGGAGGTGCATAATCAAATTTTACTGAGTGAATGAATGAACAAAGGAGTAATCAAATGAGTGAATATATGAGTATGTCCATTCGTGGATAAAAAAAATCGTAGATTTTGTCTGTATCTCTGTCTATGGGCTTCCCTGCGGGGCACTTTGGATCTGCATCTATACATCAGATTGGACTTAATAGTCACTCAGAACCATTTTACCTCTGGTCTTTGGCAGGGTTTTTCACAGTGCTACCTTCTTTTCAAAAAATAAATTCTGCATCCTCTATCTGCCTATGTTGCATATTAAAAAAAACAAAAACAAAACCATGTACAACAAATGCCTTGCAGAATGGAATGCAGCAGAATTAGCTAACTAGTTCAGTCACATTAGTCATATGAATTAGGCAGTGACCACCTCTCTGAGCCTCAACTTCTTCATCTGTAAAATGGTGATTAATCTTTACCTCATTGGGGTGTGATGAAGACAAAATGAGGTGGAAATATATGAAACTGCTTGGCAAACAGTGCCTATATATCACAGATAGTCTGTAAATGGTAACTTACTTTTTCTTTCCTTAATTTTTCCTTCATCACTTTCTTCCTCTCTTTTTCTCTTCCCTCTTCCCATTTTTTTCCCAGAAGCTATTAGAGAATTCAAGGGGGGGATTCTAAACTTCTGAGAATGGGAAATACACTTTCTATTCTGAAACTCTCCCAATATCCCCGAGTAAGAGGCAATGTAGGGGCAGATTGGAAACACTCCTTAGGAACTGATGGGAGACAGGTTGCCATCCCAGGATTCTAGATGTCCAGGCTGGAACAGTCTATCACATTCAAAGGTTGCAAGTCAACAGCTTTTAGGTTACACAAACCACAGAAATGTTTGGTTTGGCATATAAGTAATTAACAAAATCAAAATTAGTTGCCAACCTTTTAAAAAAAGAAAAATTAAAAAATATAAAACTCCAGACTTCTTGAATTCAAGGAAAACATAGAACAATCTGGTCATAGTAGGCCCACATTTCCACACTGCTGCACTTGCTTAGAGTCCATCCCCTTTGGAGCAGCTATGTGTTTTTCATACTTTGCCAAGTCTCCACCATTCCGTGTCTTTCTCCAGCACTGAGCCTGAAGGGGGCGCTTCCATCTATCATTGAGTTTGTATTCTCTTGTTTATTAGATTAGAGGAAGAGCTCTCTGTGCCTTTATCTCTTCCAAAAGTGCACACATAGGGAAGGGGAATGAAAAGGAGAAGATTTAGTAGAAAAAAGAAGGGGTATAGTGATTTTTTAATGGAGGTCAACAATATACCTATGAAAGAGCCTCATGAGATGTATACACTACGATTCCACTTTTATGAAGTTCAGAAATAAGCAAGACCAATCTATAGCAATAGAGATCAAAACACTGGTTACTTTTGGAATGGAAGCATTGCCTGGAATGGGCAGGTAGTACTCCCTGGGGAGTTGGAAAGATCCACATCCTGATGTGGGGTAGTGGTTTCATGAGTGTACACAAACATAAACATGTGTGAAGGCTTATGCTTAAGATTAGCATGAGAGTTTTATCTCAATAAAAAGAAAAGACCATCAACTGTGTCTGTAAGGTTTTATTTCTTGATTTGAGTAGTATGTATATGGGTGTTTGTTATTTTTTGGAAGTCTTTCTGTCTTTCTGAAATATTTACGGTAAATATTAGCACAACTAATATGAATAGTATACCTAAATGTTTACTACACAGAATGGTGTGCTTGGCCTGCTTCATTCATTCATCCATCTACCTAATTCAGTTGGTGTTGAATTTGTGACTTCTGAATGAAGTCTAGGGCTCATCTCACAAATGGGGAAACTGTGGCCTATAGAAATGGAAGGATTTGCCCCAGGACATATGACAAGAGTGTGCCAGAGTTTGTGCTAGAACCTTGGTCACCCGACTCAGCAATCACAAGTATTTAGTGAGCATCTACTGTGTGCTGGTGCTGACAGAGGTACCATGGTAAATAACATGACCACAGTCCTGCCTTCACAGAGCTCCGGTGGACTCGTCACAATGTATGATGTCAACAATAACATTCTATCCATCTAAGTAGTCATGATTCCCTTCATATGTGTCAATATGTGTAAAGTGCTTAAAAGTAGAGTCCATCTCTGGCGAGCACCAGTGGTGGGCCACAGTTGACTTGCATAGGCTCGTGAGAACCAATAGTGCCTGGAACATCCCAGCTTGGTGTCAGTGACAGACACTTGGAAACCTTGAGATCTGCCACAGCAGGAGTATTTTTATCACTGAAATTGGCAAATGCTACAAATCAGAGTCTATTTTTTGTGGGAAACCACTTGTTAAATATTTGTCAGCACATCCCTGGTAAGTGATCAGTAAATATCTTTCCTTTTTATTGTCACTGTTGTTCTGCATTCCACAGAGGCTGTAGGGGTAGCTGGAGTAAATGACAGCACCAGGCTGATTTGGATCTCTCTCCAGTTCCTCTTAGGTGAGTGGCAGTCTCTGAGATTCCATTTCCTCCACCGGAAGCAGGAAGAACCTAATACCCAACCCACGGTGATATGTGTGTGTGGTAGGGGGTGGGCCTGCAAAAAAAGAGAGTAGGAAGTGCCTGACCCAGTGCCTGATCAAGGTAGGCGTCCTTTAAATGTCTCTCTTACCCCTGGGGACAAAAGTGGCAGGGGCTGGAGCAGAGCCTCACTCCCAGCTGTCTATCGCACTGGTGCTCACAGGCAGACCCTCAGACAGCAGAAGAGCTCCCAGGCCTCCTTTGGTCCAAATGCCTGCACCAGCAGCTCTATTTCTGTAGCTCCTGCCACACAAGGGGCAAGGGTGCAGCAGAGACCAGCTTTTCTGCCTTATTCCTGGACATCATCAATCTTTGCCCTTCGCCCTCCTCCCTTTTCCTACCACATTTTTTTTCTCCTGGATAATGAGGCCTCCAGAGACCAGTGGAGGTCTGAACCTCGTTACGGTTCTCTCTCGGTAGGCCGGCATCAATAAAGGCAGGCAGACCAGGGAACTGGGTGGGGGCTGGGGCAGGCAGGCAGCGGGTGGGCGATGGGGGTGGGGGGCAGCTTGCAGGCTTTCAAATCCCTGGATTTATTTTACAGTGAATTATAACTGAACTCTTTAGTGCCCAGGGCTTACAGAGGGAAGGGTGGGAATTCACCCGTGGAGTAAGGAAAAGGCCTCAAACGGGAGGCTGAGCCAGACCAAGAAAACCTCTGATGTTGGGGTGAGAGGGAGGTCTCCTGTGTCTGCTCTGGGTGTGAGTCTAACTCGCCTGCTTTTGGGTACATGGGAGCTAGAGTGGGCAAAGGGAGGAGAGTTGTCAGTATGGGAGGAGCCACCAACTACGAGTCCCAGCTTATCCATCTGGGTGTACTACCTGAATGACTCTGGACCAGCCACCTCCCTCTAAGTCTCAGTTTCCCTATCTGTACAATGAGGGGTTTGTCCTTGATGGTGTCAATCAATTGCCTTGAGGTTCTGACATACAGGCCCTGTGCATGTTCCTGAGTATGTGAGCATATATGAGTACACCAGAGCATTCGGGGGGAAATCTGTGTGGGGAATCTTGGTAAGGGATGGGGAAATGCACCTTGAGGTGGAGGAAACAGATGAAGGAGCTTGAGGCTAGAAAAACAGGGCTGACTTGTGGATGTGGGGAGAGTCAGCAGCAGAGAGCGAGACAGACAGGATGATGATGGAGAGGAAAAGTGTGTGGGAATAAGGAAGGCAGAACAAGGTGAAAGAAATAGAAGAGGTAGGAGAGAGAAACAGAGTGAAAAACAGAGGCAGGAGAAAGGAAATAAAGTTGGAGAGATGAAGATGGAGACAGGAAAGGAGAAAGCAGAAGAGAAAGAGAAAGGAAGGGAGGAGGATGTTAGGGCACAAGGAGGAGCGGAGGGGTGTCTGGCTAGGTCCAAACAGCTAGAGTGCTGAGCAAGCCCTGGCGACCGTGCCCTCAGCCCATTTGAGAAACAGTACACCCGGTATCGGGTTCTGCCCAGCTATCCGGAGTATGATCTGCAGCAGGCAGCCAGACGGCAGGTCCCTGGGCTGCAAGGCCTCTCAGCACCCCGGGCAGCAGGCTGGCAGTGAGACATATAGCTGAATGCCGTCTGTCCCCCGCACCTTCTTCTCTCACTTTCTTAAGGGTGAGGAGCTAGTGCCCAGAGCAATACATGAGGCCTGGGGGCCATGATTCCCTGGAGGACAAGAGCTGAGTCCACATCAGCTCTGGAGGCCTCAGTTGCTTGGGGGCTACAAGGGAATGTGGGAACAGTCAACCTCAAAGTCAAACTGACACTGACCCGAGATGGGGGACTCCACATTCAGCTGGGCAGGGGCACGTTGGCCTGGCACTATGGAAGCACACAGGGATTGGTCTTAGATTTGGGTTCAAGCCTCGTTCTGAGCCTGTCATGTCACTTCTGAGATCGCAGCATCCACAACCAGAGTGTGCAGACAGGAACCCTTTCCTTAAACAACTATCCTGAGGTTTCAATATCATGTTGGAGCCAAGCGCTGGGCACTTGAACATGGCAGGTGCTCCACAAACAACAGGTGTCACCAGTTTTCTATATCCACTAGTGACTGCTTTTCCCCCAACAGATAAGGCTTAGAGAAAGACACCTGAGTCCTAGATGATATGAAATGGAAGGTACATGGAGGACATTAGAGACACCAAACAGCATCATCTTTATGAACATGGACTTTCAAGTCAGACAGACAGGAGTCTGTGATCTGGCTCTGTGCTCCCTACCTCTGTACTTGGTGCCTCGGTTTCCTCATCTATGAGCAGGGGACATTAGTACTTTTATTTCTAGGCTGTCATCAGCATTCAGTGGGACAATAAATAACAGGCCTTTCACACAGAGAGAAAGTATTAAACATTTAAGAATTGGAGAAATGAACTCGGACTTGGGAAGCTGTAAATATTCAACAATGCCGTTTCCCTCCCCCTTAGCTGCAGGTAACAGGTAGTTGGCCCTGGTCACTCACCTCCACCCGTGTGGGATTCAGCCAGTGGGGTATGTCGCGCACGGTCACGTTCATTGGTAGGATGATGGACTCGCTGTTGTGGTCCAGGCACGAGGTGGCACACTCTGACCCTAAGGGTAAGCACAGCACCAGGTGGTGGCTCAGCACCCAGGCTCACGATGTGCCCCATGTCACTCTCCCCCAGAGTAGGACCTGTGGCTCCCTGGTCCCCATTGGAGGTGTCCCAACCTCAGGGCAGTGGACAGGAGTGAGCTCCCCAGGCAGGGCTGCCTCTGCTCTCCCTGACTCCATTCACCATCCTCCAATCCAGCTGGCCCTAAGCCTAATTTGATCATGTTCTTCCTCTGCTCAGAAGCCTTTGCAAGGCTCCCCAGAACAAAGTCCAACCCCATTTGCTAGGCCTTCAACGCCTCCCATGATCTGGTCAATCTCCTCTCCGACTAACTACTTTCATGTTTTGGTTGGTCTAGTTTTCCATCTGATTCCCATACTTCCCAGCTACTGTTCATCTACTCCTGTTCACCCCATCTCCCCAAACACCCCCACCGATCTACCTTCCCATGACCAAATCCTATCCATTCTTAAAGGCCCAATTCAACTCCACCAGGAAGTTTGCCCTGATTTCTGCAGCATTGTCTGAATGCCTGCTGCATTTGACTTCTGCATCTATTGGGCACTCCTGTATCAGCCTTATCTTCTTGTGTCTTCTCTCTACACACAGAGCGCTACCCTAGGAAGGCAAGGATGTGTCAATTCATCTCTGAGTTTAACCTGGGGCCTGACACCTAAGGAGAACTCAGTTAGCATCAGTCAAGTGGGTGATGAGCACATAAATGCAGCACCAGCTTGTGAGTCCCTGCACTTCTTATTCCCCAGGGTTTCACTCCTGCCCTGTGCCTTCAAGTCCCTTCCCACTCCTCTGTAAATAGCACGTTCCTACGGACCCCAGTCCATGTGCCACTTGCTAAGAGAAGACTTCTGTGGTTTCCTGACAGGCCAACCCTTATGGGCACCAGTTACAGCATTTATCACATGACCATTTCCCATTTGTTTTGGTGATGGTTATGTCAGTGGCTCTCTCCTCTGTAGCTCCATGGGGCCAGCATTGCCCATGCTCCCCATTCTGTGCCTGGAGCCTGGCACCAGGCATGGTGGATGGTGGGCACTCGATAGGCTTTGTGAAATGAGTGTAAGACACAATAAGTGAATGAGTGTGTCAGTGGGTGAGGAAATGAGTGAGTGAATGAATAAAAGGCACAATGAGTGAATTATGAAGAGGCATTTAGGTATCTTATGAAGGAGGAAGTGAGTGGGTAAATGGATAAGTGAATGAATAAATGGTGGATTAAATGGATAAAGGAATTAAAATAAGTCAGGTAACAAGTCAACGAAGGGGGGATGACTAACAGGGACAGGCCTCGTACATAGTTCCTTCATGCAGGAACTTGTGGTGAAAACATTTGACTTTCAGGCCACACATTGGCAAATTGACTATAATTTGGCTCATTCTCCATCCTGGCCTCACATATTTTGAGGTCTCCTGAAAAATCACGCCTATCCTATGGGATGTCCTCAGTATTCCACAGAGGAATTCATTCATGTGGGCAAAGAAATAACTTGTCAGAATCTGACTAGGCCCCAAGGAGGTCATTTCTAATAGAGCCAAAGCTACCTTCCTGACCCTAAATGGTCCACTAGGAGTGAGTCAACTCTTTTCTTTAAATATCCTATTCTATTAGCCATTTTAAAGGCCCTCTTCCAAATACTTAATATAATATGATATGATATAATATATAATGTGTGTATATATATATATGCACATACAAATATGCATATATACATAAATATGCAATATTCACACAGGCATATTTACAAGTTTATGTATATAATCTGTGCAGTGCCCTTCCTTTGGTCCTCTTATCATCCTCTTCAATCTAACAGGCTCACAAGGGGGCAAGGATGAAGTGACAGGTGTAGGATGTTGTTTGGAACCTTTTCACTTTAGACACTGAGCCCAAAGGGGAGTAGATTTCTGGCCCTGGGTGTTGTTTCCTATGTCACCTAATTTCTCTGCAAATCATACCCATTTCACAGGTGAGAGAGCCAGAGGATGCAGAGCTCAGGGTACAAAGCAGGTGAGTAGCCCTGCAATCCTTATGGTGCAGCACTACATAGAGAAGAGAGAGGGAGGCAGCAGTAGATGGGGCAGAGACGGACAAGGGGCCAAAGATGAGATAAGAAATGGGGAAAATGCAAAATGACAGAAATGATAACTGGTGAGAATAAGAGGCCAGAGAAACCACTTACTGGTGCATTTTTTGTCATGAGACCAGTTCTAAAGGAGTTTTAAGGAGCAAGGATGAGACAAGGTTCTGATGATAAAATTCTTTAAAAGAAAAAGAAAGAAGAAGATGCAGCCTCTGAGACATAGACAAAGGCTATCTTATCCCACAAGGAAGGAAAAAAAAAGAAAAAGAAAAAACGTAGTCAAAACAGGAGGCACTTGCTGTCCTATGCAGCAGTCTTCATTCCTCTTTCTCTGTGTCTCCCGGGTCTCGGCTCCCCTCCCCCATGCTTCAGCTCTGGGGTTTCAGGCTCAGGCTGCTGTGTTGTGATATATGAGCCGTAATTGGCATCATTACAGAGTGGTGATCTCAGCAGGCCCCCGCCTCTTCTTCCCGGGAGGCGCTGGGATGGTGGCAGCCCTGGTGGCAGCAGCAGCAGCAACTTTCCGAGGGCTCGTAACTGCCACTGAAGCCTCCCCAGGCTGCTTGGGGAGGTGGTAAGCGGGAGCCAGTCTGGGTGACTCCAGAATGTGCCCTCCAGCCCCCAAGGGCCAACACACACCTCGCTCATTTGTTACAAGGCCTCTGTTCAAATCCCTCTCCACGGCAAAGTGGGCTCTCCCAGGAAAGGCTCAGGCTGGGAGGTGAATGTGAGGGGGGCTTGGAGGTGAGGGGAAGATGAGAGAAGGCAGAGGAGTGGGTGAGGGAAAGTTGCATTCCTTCCTTCCTTCTCCCTGTCACCTCATGTGGCTCTTTCTCTCTCTGCTCTCCTCCAGTGTGCCCCCACCCACCCATCAGCGACCCTAAATTATGATGTTCATAGTCTTGGCATCTGGGTGGCCGCCATGGGGACCTGGGATGCAGGGGAGGGAACAGTGAGTCAGGTACCAATATCATACAGGTTTCTTTCCCTTTTTGCTTTGACTGTGACAAAGCTCAGTAGGCAAAAAAATACCACCCTCCCACCCCTTCCCTCCACTCTTCACGGTTCTGAGAAAGAGCAGAGAGCCAGGCATGGTGCTCATTTACGTGTGGTTGTGACATGTGAATGCAATGTATGAACACAGTGTCCTGTGATGTATTTGTGTTAAATGCATGTGTGAGATCTGTTTGCTATTTGTTCATCTCTCTGTGTGTTTGATATGCTTCAAGGCACAAGAGGTGGTTGTGCCCATAAAGTATGTGTATTTGTGTATTACGTGTGTGTGTGTCCTGGGTGTAGGCTTATGTGTGTGTGTATGTGTTTGTGTGGGTGATGCTTTTGCACGGTATTTGGCTGCTGTGTAGGTGCTAGGCATGAGCTGACTATATGACGTGTGTGTTTGGGGCTATGTTTAGTTATGAAGCATTTCAGCTCATGATGTGTATTTATTTATGCATGTGTGAATAAATTTGAATGTGTCAGTAAGTAGACATGCAGCAAATCTATTTCTATAGTTTTTTTTAATGTAAACGTCTCTTAATCAGACTTTTTCTCAGGGGGCTACTCAATACCAGTTGAGGGTGTGACTGAATAGTCACTTGTATATTCTGATTGAGTTGGGAGTCAGGACCCCATCACAGACATACTCCTCCAGAGCTGCCTATACCCTGAAGGAATCATGGGAAAAGTCTTGACATTGGGAAAGAGCAGCTCAAGCTGCTCACTGTGGCAGCACCTGTTGCCTAACCTTCTAGAGTGCCTACACTGGCAGGCCCTGCAGGATCCCAACTTTCTGCAACCCTCCTGGTCAGGGTCCCATGGACTGGTGACTCTTTAAGGTCTTAAAGTACCTTCTGAACCATCAGCAAGGGCCACCATGTGCTTTGGTGTTTTCTGACCCACACAGGAGCCAGTGGCCCAGACTAAATTACTGTAAGTTAAGATGAAGAGCTTCTGCTGCCTGAGGTTACATGTTTTCATCTGCCAAAGGAGATGGTGGGTCCCCATGAACCTCGCCTCTCCAACCACAGGCCTTGCTTTTGGACATGCAGTGATAATTCTCAGTTTGCTTAGTAAGAACACGTTGGCTCTGTGCACACTCAGATAACCTTCCGCGCCAGACATCTCTGGCAATTGCTCCATAAATCACATTGGCCATGAGAAAGGACATTCAATTCCCTGGGCTTTTCATCATGGTCAATTAGGGAATCAGCCCGAGAGGTCAGACTCACTGCCCTTAAATGAGGTCAGACTCCATGCACTCTGAGTCCCCCAGAAAGCTGTGGAGCTTGTGATTAATGCATCTGTCCAGGTGCCTGGTTTCAAGCAGGCAAATCCGTGCTTCAGATCCTGGCTTGTCTCTTCTCACTGTGTGCAGAGCTGGCCTATCACTGCACAAAGAATATTTTGAAAATGCTATATATCCTTATTTTGGATGTAGCTGATATGTCACAGAAAGAAAGAAGCCATGCTTTGGAGCAGGACAGGTCTCAGGATTTGGGGGCATGTTCCATTACCCCTTCAGGTTTCGATTTCTTCATCTGTCAAAGGTTATTGCGAGGGGAAGATATATTGCCTTTCAAGTGCCTGCTGCAGGGCCTGACCCATAGTGGGTACTCATGAATGTTTAGTATGATGCACATTTGAAGAGTAACAACAAAAGCAGCCACACTGGATGGCTATTGCTTCCCTAAATGTGATGTGTGCTTTGATATTCCCTGTTCTTTGGTCACACGGCTCTTTCAGTCTGGAACACCATTTCTTGCTCGACAAGCTCTTTCAAATTCCATGTGGGCTTCCCTCCTTCTGGGAGTCCTCTGTGTCCCCAGGCACACGATAGCTTTTCTGTACTCTTATGTGATAGTCCACACTCCATTGCTTTGCCATATCCCTGTCCCTGACTCTCTTTCTAGGAGGACATGGTTTAGTCTCATGAGCCTCTGTTTCCCTAGTGCCTGTACAGGGTCTCACATGGTAGACCCATGCTTAATGACCCACCCAGGCATCAGCCCTGAGCACCTGGAAAGACTTGCCCTTCCCAATGGCCCTGCTGCAGGCCCATTGTATACCTATGGCATAGCCGTCGGGGCATTGCAGTTTGAGATTGCTGTTGAGTTGGTTCGGGGCCGAGCACTGGCCTTGCATCTCCTGGCAGACATGGAAGGAGCCACTCCAGGTACCATCTTTCCGGCAGTGGATGATGTTGCTTCCACGTCCCTGAACAGTAAAAAAACACAGTCAGGACCAAAAGAGACCTCAGCCCCCAGCAGGTTAAGCCTCTTGAAATAAAAGAGGAAATAACTTCTTCTCTCCCCAGAGCTCTGAAGTGTTCCAAAACAATTTCTTAATTATGGTTGAAACTCAGTCACTCTGAAAGAGAGGTATGGTTAAGATCTCCATTTTATAGAGAGGGAAACTGAGGACTCAGAACAGGAAGAAACTTTCTAAAGGCTTTTCAGAAAGCCTACCTCCCAGGTTATAGCTTAGTGTTTTTTCAGAAGTTTCAATCAAAGCAATTATGGTTTTGATTTGTGTAGGCTTTTTTATTTTGTTTTGTTTTTTATTAAGTGGAGAAAGTAGAATAGAGTCCCATGAGTTTCCTCCCTGGCGCAGTGGGTAAGAGCATGGGTTCATGAGGAGATACACATCAAAGCTTGCTTCCTCTTAAATATTGAGAAAGCATCCTATGTCGGGGTTCTGGCATATGTGAACTAGGTAAGCTGGATACAGCTGAGAAGATTTTTCCTCCCAGGCATTTGCTTCCTTTCCTCCTCATTTCTCCTCTCCATTCCATTCTAGCAATAATGACACCAAGAGTGTGGTGTGGGGATACTTCTATCTGTGCTTTCCTCCCAGTGCTTTAAAACAGGAAATGGACGGTTTCTCAATCTTCCACAAAACATTAGGCAAATACAGCTAGGAGACATAATCCCTTCTCCAAGCCTCCTTTCAGCCTCCTGGATTTCAAGGAGAGGCCTCCTATATAGATATTTCAAAACTGCCACTGAATTTAAGGAAGATTTCTTAGTGCCCATTCAGTGCCCAGCTCTATGGTGGTACCAAAGTAAAGAGGGGAATGACTGCCCCTTGTCAGCTAGTGGGAAAGGCAGCCATGTGAGCTACAAGCCATGTCAGTGTGACTGTGCTCAGTGACACAGAGCAAGAATCACCCCAATGCTGTGAGTACATGGGGAAGAGTAACTTGTTGCGAAGGAGAAACCAAAGAAGGTCCCCTAGAGGAGGTGATATATGAAAAAGGGTTTTCAAGGCTGTGTGGAATCTCAAGCAGAAAAATGAACAGAAAGACTCTGAGAAGATGGAAGGGCATTCACCACAAATACATGAAAAATAGAGTGAGCACTGGGCAGCCTGATGTGGTTCTGGTTCTGTGACTTCAAGGAAGGAAGTAGGGGAAGAAAAGCTGGTGAAGCAAATAAGATGTGGATCTTGAATGCCAGCTTAAGGAGTTTGGACACTAAGAAAAACGGGGAACCTAGATGGTTTCTTTGGGCAGATCTGAGAATGGCCTGTAAATGCTCTTCCTGTTTGAGGTGTTGAGTAAGATAAAAGTCTCAATATGCCAGAGGAGCTGACTGTGCTCCATCAGTGCAAAAACCTGTGCGTGGGCCCCTCATGACTTCTGCTACCATCGAAACTCCTGGTCCTGGCTTCTAGTCCCCACTCAGCATTCACTTTGCCCAATTCTCAGTCCCTTGCTTTACAGAGTGCCACCACCAGCCTTGAACTTGGGTTTCAATGACTTGCATTCTTGAAGGCACCATATGCTGTGTTTTTTTGTGCTCGCTGCTCCTTCCATCTGCAAGGTTTCCTGACTCATTCCCCCTCCCCTGCCTTGTCTACCTGGCACAATCCGTCCTGTCATAATGTCACCACAGTTCTGCACAGGGCACTACCTGAATGTCTCTAACACGGTATTATCTCTTTGTTGACCATCTATTCCAGCACTAGAGGATGAGCTTCTCAAGGCCCAGGCCAGTGCCCTGTTCATCCCTGTGTCTTCAGGACCTGCTACTATGTCTAACAAGTCCTGGCCACCCAGTCCACTCATTCATTACTTAATCAATCTTTTGATTAATTCAATAACTATTTGTTTAACAAAAGATGGGGTAACTAGATGGAGAGTGATGGAATGAATTTAACTGACAAGCTTCTGCAAAGCCAAAGAAACTATCAAGAGAGCAGGGAGACAGCCCACAGTCTCAGAAAAAATATTTTCCAACGGTATATCTGACAAAGGTCTAACATCTAAGATCTACAAGGAACTCAAATGTGTCAAGAAGAAAAAAAACAAATGGCCCCCATTTACAAAGTGGGCAAAATATATGAATAGACACTTCTCAAAAGAAGACATATGAGTAGCCAACAGATACATGAAAAAATGCTCAGCCTCACTAGTCATCAAAGAAATGCAAATTAAAACCACGCTGAGACACCACTTAATTCCAGCCAGGATGGTCATCATCAATAACTCAAAAAGCAACTGATGCTGGAGAGGATGTGGGGAAAAGGGAACAGTTCTACACTGTTGTGGGAGTGTAAACTAGTAATAACCTCTGTGGAAAACAGTTTAGCGATTCCTAAAAGATTGAAAAGTCAACTTTCCATGTGATCCCTACAATCCCCCTCCTGGGAATATAGCTAGAGGAACTCAATAACTCTATGAAAAAGATACCTGCACACATCATGTTTATTGCAGCACTATTTACAATAGCAAAAACATGTCCATTGAAAGAGGTTTCAATAAAAAAGTGTGGCGCATATACACAATGGAACATTATGCAGCTATAAAGAAGGACAACGTTTTGAACTTCACAGCAACTTGGATGACTTAGAGTCTATAATACTGAATGATCTATCACAGAAACAAAGAACTGAGTACTACATGTTCTCACTCATAAGTGGACCTTGAACGATTATAAGAAAGGGATTGGCAGTAGTTGGAAAGTGCAGGGACGGGGGGAGGAATTGTCAGTAGTGGGAAACTGCCGGGAGAGTGGGGAGCACACCTCATCAATGAGGGTACCTGTATAATGAATATTTGTATATCTTACCCTGAATTGTATCCCACATCTTCAAAGTAAAAAATTAAAAAGAAACAAAAAAATAAATAAATAAAAGAATGCATGGATGAGGAAATAAATACATGATTGAGTTAATGAAAAAAACGAATGAATGGTAGAATAAATGATGGATGCATGTATGAGAAAATGAATAAGTTCTTTTAAAGGATTAAAGTAGGCAGAAGCTCCCCTGTCTGGGAAAACAGCTGCAAAGAGACAGGATTCAAAAGAGAAAGGGAGACCCTCTCCAGGGCCCGCAGGAGGAGGGTGCAAGTGCAGTGGGAGCCTCTCTGGCCTTGGAAGAGGGGTGGCCTATCCTAAGCACACAGCTGCAGGGCGACTTGCAGAGTCTATTCCCAGAGGTTCTGTGTGAGTTCATGACAAACTTACACAGCTTCATGTGGTTTCAGAGAACCCAGACTCTCCTGCTCAGAGCCCCATGCTCTAGGCCCCATGATTCTGCTGGGCCCTCTAGGGAGTAGGAAATTGACCCCAATTTCCTGGAGCCTTGGCCTGGGTCTATGATGCATTTGGCCTCCAGCCCCTGAAGGGCTGCAGACCTCAGCACTCTGTGGGCCAGAGCTGGCTGCAGCAGAGAATGTATTAGAACTAGCTGGAATCTGCTCAGGGAGTTTCAAACTGGGGAGGCCCCACCATGGATGAGAGGTGAGAACACAAAACATTGGTCTTGCTGCCTCTGGTTTCTCTCTCTCCTGCCTAGTACATCTGGTGCTATATCTGTTTTAAAAAACGTGTCACCCTTCTGCTAAGACACCTTAGCCTTCAGAACATGCCATACTAGTAGGCTGGCACTTCCCGGCTTCCATCATGGAATCCAGCTGACATACTGTGCTCCATCTCTTGCCGTGTGCACATGCTTCCTTCTAGTCAAGTGACTCACCTTGTCTCTCCTGCAAACTTCTCCTACTTCCTCACCTCCATACCTTGGTCCTTGCTGTGCCCTCTGCACAGTAGACTTTTTGAAGCCTCCCTGGATTTTCAAATCCTTCTTTAAGACTAGATGTTAGCCGGGCTCGGTGGCTCAGCCTGTAATCCCAATGCTTTCGGAGGCTGAGGTGAGTGGATTGCTTGAGCCCTCGGGTTCGAGACCTGCCTGGGCAACTTGGCGAGACCTCATCTCTACAATAAA